CCATTGTTGTCCTCACAGAATTTAAAGCAAAAAAATGCTTTGTGTTCAGGGCTCGGCAGTAAATCTTAGCGTTGCAAATTGACAGCGTAATTATATAGTGTGGTGTAAAAGTAGGGCTGATAATTACAGTGTGTGTGTGTGTGTGTGTGTCAGTGTATGTGCTGTGTGTGATTAGGTGATGGTTTGAGGGAGAATGGAGGGATGAGATCTTGGCCCGCTCCTGTTATCGTGATTTAATTAAAACCAATCCCAGGGGCCAACCTGCGCACGTGTGCTGTGTGTGTCCTCATTGGGGTTTGGAACGATACAAGCCTGCAATCGCTATAGCCTGCTATTGTGTCACTTTCTCTAAACATTTTACAAACAGCATCTTGCACAAAGGGTCTAAATACAGTGTATGCGCGGGTGAAGTGGGATAATAACTGGGGACTGGCAGGGTGGTATTATTTGGTCAGTGTGATGAATTATTTGCTCTCGGGCCAAATGGAGCTCGGAGGCTGATCACTAGTCTGATTGGATTTTTACACAGGAGATATGAAGATGTAAACAGATTGATGGGGATGTCTGCTTTGCTCTCCATTAAGTGGATTATAAATATAAGGACCAATTTAGAATGAAGTGCTCTCTTCAGAACTCACACACCTCGCACACGCTTTTTCACTAATGCCGTCAAAGTTGTGGAGTAACATCGGTTCACTCTGTGCTAAAGTTTGGTCACGACTTAGAGGCTTTCTTTCTGTTGCCAACACAAAGTTGACAAAACAAGGTTAATGTGTGTTGCATCAACAGCATGAAGTGATCAATGAAACCAATAAACCTGATGACATAAACAGGACACCTGTCATTGCCAGTAACTGTCTGCTCCAGTTATGACAATCTGAAATCCCTAAAACCAAAAATCTGGCTACAGTTTAGGATTTAACGCTGATTTCATATATTAATAACACAAAAACATGGAAGTAGCTTCCTGTCTGAGATTTAAAGCCAATCCAGAAAGTATCTGGCAGCTATGCAGCTGTGGATTATTACTGCAGAGTGAACATTATCTTTGAAGAACATTACTTTTGAACCAAGTGTACTAATACAGCTAACATCAGTGCTGCTTGTTAGGCTAGTATTGCTAATATTCTTATTAAATCAATTAGATGCCAAAGCTCCTTATTCCCATTCTCTATTTTTTGTTTCCCATTTTTTGAACTATCCAATTACAATATGATCACGTGACACTTGAACATTGAGCTTTCCATACTCCGCCTTAAATAAGACTGTTTGTTTAAACCTCCATTAGAGCTGCAACTAGGGGGCAGTGGAGCCAGCTGTAAATATTGTAAACAAGGCAAAACATTCAAATGGAAAACTTTAGCAAACAGTTACTTATTGAAACATCCTGTATGGGGTCATGTATGTGTCCACCTGACTGTACAGGTCCAAAAATCAGCTTCCTTTTAGCTTTGCTTTGGTTTCGAGAGACTCATGAGAGAAATGCTCCACTAGCTTCAGTATGTAAATGTTTACTTGATGTTTATTGCTGGCAGGTGTTGCAGTTGTTAATTGGACTTTTTCACCTCTGACAGCAACTGCCTGCTGCAAGTCAAGCAGAATGATGAGAATGAACTAAGTCAGTAGACTTCAACAAGCTAAAAGACACTAAAAAATCTGCAGACAAGCCAAGAAGTCTGATAATTCTCTTAAGATCAAATGAAAACGACCAGTTTGGGGTCAGACACAGTGGCTTTAGTTTTTGTTTAAAGCGGACACCTTAAGTGTTAAATCAATAAAACCAAAGCAAGGGCCAAAAACGTCTTTTCTACAATGGCCATTTGAGGCCAATAGCAAGTCAGTCCCCACAGATGTTAAAATATCCAAATGTACAATAGATGTACATTTGGATATTTTTATGCTGGCTGTACATGGGACACACTGGGCAACACCTTTTAACCTTTGGATTCAAGGGTTTTCAGTTCCATTGCCACAGTGTATAAATTCAAGCACATATTAGTGCAGTCTGCCATTAAAACATTTTCTGGCATAAATGTCCTGTATAATACTACTACTACTACTACTAATAATAATAATAATTATTATTATTATTATTACACTCTTATCCTTTTGTCCTTGTAAGTGTTGAATTCCTCCAAAATGAGCTCAGCACTTAGATTGGGCACTCAGGCTGCTATTTATTCTTTGGAAAAATATAATAGAAGTCATAGGTCATAAGGTAGTCCTGCATAACATAGTCAATCACTAAACTGGTTTGTGCAATGAATTAATTCAGACATCTATTTATTTACACACCACATAGACAAAAATAAGGGTCCCAAAAGGGCCACACGTCTTGATCTTTGAATTCCACAGGTTTATTCTTTTTTATTTATGCCACAGGTGCATAAAATCGAGCACCTATTCATGCAGTCTGTTTTTACAAACATTTTGGAAAGGATGAGTTGTTTTAAAGAGCTCACTGTATTCGAGTGTCGTTTGCCATGATTGCAACAAAAATTGAAATTGCTTTCTTCCCAGAAATTCCATGATCAGCTGTAAGTGCTCAGGAACCAGAGAAATTCAGCCATGAAGTGGGGAAAGTGGGGATGCCAACTATTGAGGTGCACAGTGTGTAAAAGTCACCAGTGCTCTGCTGACTGAGTAACTGCAGTTTCAAACCTCCTCTGGCATTAACATCAGCACAAAAACTGGGCACAGGGAGCTTCAGGGCATGGGTTTCCATTCTGTAGGTGTAATGTGTAGATGGCAGCAGCTGCTGCTTTGACTGATAGGTGTGCCGGCACAGGTAGGTGTAACCAGCAGCTGTCATCTGAGGAGTGTTTCTAGAATCTGCTTTATTTAAAATACATCAGCTGCCGAGTTTCCTGATGCCTCCGACTTTTTTTTTCACCCCTCTGGCTTCCTTAAATTCAAATTCCTCCCAGTCTGTTGCTGTTCAGCACTGTTTTGCAGCGCTCTACAATCCCATGTGGTGATTTCTCCGGAACAAACAATCAGCCAAAGTAGCACAGCAGGTCCTATGTGGAGGTCTTACAATCAGAACATTAAATTGGAAGGATCGAATCTCATTTTACGGCAAATTAATCCATGAAAAAACAAAAGCTCAACAGAAAAGCTGTCTGATCTAAGCAGGTAAGTTCAGGACACAGGGAACACGGAGTAATGTTTTCTGTTTGGTTTCCTGCTTTGATGAAAGCCAGCAGGCCGAAACACTCCAACTGGCTTTAACTGTTTTGTAATCAATGAACTCGTCAATAAAACCTTTTGAAGCTTCCAGAAAGAAGTTAAAAAAGCAACCAAAGTTGCATAGTCACCTCTATTACCTGACTCAGCACACCCACAGATTCAGAGTGAGTGCAGTGGCATTTCTGCAAACCTGTTTTACAATTTCATAGCCCCACATGTAATGGCCAATTTCCTATTCAAATAACTCTGCTGTGTAATCCACAATTTGGCAACGAGTGGTAAGAGTTAAACCAACAGATGGATGACACGTGACCTGAATTCTAAAGCCTCACAGTGACTGATACAGTATCTATCAACTGTAATAATGGATTGGATTTATATAGCGCTTTTCAAGGCACCCAAAGCGCTTTACAATGCCACTATTCATTCACTCCCCCATTCACACACTAATGATACATTTAACCAGCTGATTTGATTTTAAAGCGCTTGATGATCACGCCCGGTGCAGATCTCTTTTAAAACTATGACTGAGATACAGACAGAATGAGACATCTACCACTTGCACAATCTACTTCTCTCCATTGGTCACACTGTAAAAGTAATGCTGAGTCAGATTGGCTGCAAACATGATTTAGCTTTTCTACACCGCAATTTCTTGTTACTGATTGCCTGACATATACACCGATTAGTTGCGACAGGTCATTTGGAAAAAGTCGTGCAAGTTCTACTCGCTGGCAGCAAGTAAATCTGTGGTTCGAGTAATAGTGAGTCAGTAATAAAATTGTATAAATCTGGATAAATTAATGACAAACATACTGGCTGGCTACAAGCAACCTTACTGAATAAACCACATATATGTAATATGTATGCAACAGTATTGCCTTAAGAAAATTAAGTGAAGTCAGCACAAAAAAAGTGGGTTATACCTGTTATCTGCACTACGGTGCTTAGGCTAAGTCACATGAACTTAATGTAATATACCAAAGGAGCAATGTTATAAATGTTAAGCCACCTCACAAAATGTCACTATGAATGTTTAGATGCTTTGTATAAATTTTGGAATAATTATGCTCAGTATGAATGTTTTCTATTGAGTGACAAGGACCTTCCATGTGCCCCATACACCGCACAGCCACAGGAACACTGGTTTTACTAAGAGTTTAATAAACAAGAATGCTGATACTGTTCTCAGCAACACAAAAACTAGAAAATGCCCATAAGAAACGCAAATCTAAACACCAAATATCTGGGAAAAACTGATCCCAACAACTTTAAAGTTTGAACATAAGAATAACATTTTTTTAATTATATAACTTATAATTTTTCTTTTCAAC